GGATGCGGTGCTCATCTCTGTTTCCAAGCCGAAGAGCCAGCGCTGTCCAAGGACATTTCTGTTATCGTGTGGCCGGTATGACTAGACACCGAGGCACACGGAACAATCTCTGTAGCCTGGGGATGAGCTGAATTCCAGGGGCTCCCCAGGCCCCACCTGGAGGCTGGCATCTCTAGAAGCTGAATTGATTGGGGACCTGCTAGTCTTCAGCTAAGACATCTGCATAGCAGCTAATGAATAGTATAATTTTCAGTTGAGTTAGTCAATGTCAAGAATGCAACGTAGTTAAGCTTTAATAAAACATAGGAATGGAAGCGGAGATTCTCTGAGGGTATCGCTTGTGCACTGTGCCCGTAATGAAGCCCAAGGCGTTGCCGAGGAGCGCCTCTTGCAAGTAATTAAAACAATCTGATACGGGACAGCTAACGAGACGCCTAGGGCTTCTGAAGGGCACACGTCTATCCGTGCCAGGCCTGAAGCCCATCCCTCACCACCGGCAGAGAGAAGGCGATCAGCCGGCTTGCCTAAAGGGAGATCTGCGCTTTGGAAAGAAATCTGTCTTGCAGGGCGCACTTTTTTCCAAAAACCACCCAATACAAAAGAACCTCAGGACAGCTCCAAAATTCAACCCCAACGCACACTCGGTAATTCGAGAGAGATGCCCCAGCAGTGGGGAGGTCAGATTGCAAGACGGGGAAAGCTCAGCTTACCACAACCCGAAAGGGCAGAAAACGGAGCTGGACTTAACACTTCCCCTGGGACTGATCACACTTGGCAGAAGCAGTGCCCAGCCGCCTCCCGCCCAATGCTCCCTCTAAGCTGTGGGGTCTTGTGAGCAAAAATTCTACTTTGTGAGCTCCTGGCATTAAAGTGGTGAGCGAGCGATTTGACTGCTGCATCGATTAGTTTGCCCTGGAGCCATCCTTCCTGAGCTAAGACCAAAAGGTGTGAGCCGGAGGCTAAAAAACTGTGAGCTAGCACACACTAACTCAGCTTAGAGGGAACACTGCTCCTGCCCATCTCCAGAAATGCCCATTTATGGCAAAGCAAATTTTAAGCAGGTAGCAGTTGCCCCCCTGGCAAGCACCCGGGGATTTGGCTTCCTGGTTGCCAGCCTACCCCCCAGCAGAGCTTGCAGGTAAGAGGGCAGAAGCACTGTGTTCCAGCTGTGCGCAGGTCTCTGACCTGGGCCCCCGACTCCCCGTCCCCTTCCAGGGACTCTGCTGCAGGGCTGCTGGTCTCTGAAGCGCTACCGTAACACTAACAGGCCAGCCTCCCTCCATCCTGACCCAATGCCCTTGACTCGCTTGTGCCAATTGCAGGCCATGCTTCAGTAGGGAAGAAGGCATTAAAGACGGCCCCACCAGGTAGGGAAGACCCCCTTGCCCGACTCTCAGCACTCTCCCCCGGGTGGAATTCCGTAGTTAAGAATTAAAAAAGAAAAAAGTTCCATCCCTGGAGGCTCATGAATCCTTCAAGATTATGCTACAGAGCCCATTGGAAAGACCTTTGAAGAAGCAGTGACGGCAGCAAAGAAATCGTACTTACCAGGAACGGCTGCTGTCAAAATCTGAGCCTTTATTGTCTCAGGAAGAGAAAATTCTTTTGCCAATGCTTTTGCTGATAAAATATTGGGAACACTCTCTAAACTGGATGTCAATTGTAACATTGTAACTGTATGTCATGTGATGTGCAACAACATGGGGTGTGCAGAAGAAGCCGGTTTACTGACGATGTAAGAATGTTCTTCTGATGATTGGCTGCTCTGCTTAAACTAGTTTGATGAGAATTGTGGGTATTTTCCCCTGCATAATAACATGAAGACTTCTACATTTTGAGCACTAGAGGAAGCTGTATGGTACAACTGAAGAAGTATCAACAAAACGAAGATGGGAATCCAGTTTTCGTCTCTTCGTCCTATGTCCTGTGTGCCGGCTTCTTTTGTACACTCTGTGTTGTTGTGTGTCATTTGTATACATGATATTGTATCTGTTTGTACACACTGTGTTATATATTCTTTGTTCCTTTGCACTTAAAAAAAAAGAACAAGATGGGCGGCCCTGTTTGTCTGTAGCAGTAGAAAAGAGCACGGGCACCTTCAAGGCCAACAACATTTGTGGCAGGGGAGGAGCTTTCCAAGAGTCACTGCTCACTTCTTCAGATACGGCTAGAATGAGTTCCCTTGCTCGAAAGCCAGTCGAATCCGACTCTAGGGTTGCGGTGCTCATCTCCGTTTCAAAGCCGAAGAACCAGCGCTGTCCGAAGACGTTTCTGTGGTCATGTGGCCAGCATGACTAAACACCAAGGCGCACGGAACGCTGTTACCTTCCCACCAAAGTGGTACCTATTTATCTACTTGCAATTTCTTGCTTTCGAACTGCTAGGTTGGCAGGAAGAATGAGTATACCTGTCCTTATATCTTGGGAGAGTGGAGTGATTTCAGATGCTGAATTACAATAGGAGGCAAATGACAACAGCAGCTGAGTGGCAGCAGTGTTAAGTCTGTCTGTAGCAGTGGAAAAGACCAAGAGTCCAGTGGCACCTTAAAGACTAACAAAATTTGTGGGAGGGGAGGAGCTTTTGTGAGTTATGGCTCAAGAAGAAGAGATTGGATTTATACCCCGCCCTTCCCTCGGAGCGGCTCACAAATGCCTTCCCCTTCCCACAACAGACACCCTGTGAGGTAGGTGGGGCGGAGAGAGCTCTTGACAAAAACTGCTCTTTTTCAAGGACAGCTCTTATCAAAGCTAGGCTTGCCCAAGGTCATCCAGCCAGGTGCAAGTGGAGGAATGGGGGAATCAAACCCGGTTCTCCCAGATTAGAGTCCACACACTTAACCACAACACCAAACTAGCTCTCAAAAAGAGCAAGAGTCCAGGAGCATCTTAAAGACCAACAACATTTGTGGCAGGGGAGGAGCTTTCATAGGAAAGCTATGAAGAATCTGAAGTGAGCCGTGACTCATGAAAGCTGATAGACTGTTGCAAATTTCGTTATTCTTTAAGATGCTGCTGGACTCTTGCTCTTTTCTATAGCTACGAATGAGCTGGAAGGTGGAACAGCGCAGCCCCCAAGGGGCCAAGGACAGCTCCCTTATCAGGGGGCCAAGTCCCTCCCCACATGAGCCTTCCAGTGGGCTTCAGGTACCCCGTTACACCCCAGGGTTGCAAGACAGGCTCTGAATGGAAGCTAGGAAGATGGCGTAGCAAGATCCAAGGCCAGTAGAGACCAACACGATTTGGGGGTGGTGGGGGGAGGGAGAGATAAGCTTTTGAGTGTCAAAGTCCCCTTCACTAGATCTGACGAAGGGCGCCTCGACTCTCAAAAGGGCATACCCCGAGTATCTTGTTGGTTTCCAAGGCGCTATTGGACCTGAATCTATCCATGAAGGAAGCGGCTAACCTCACTGTACACCCTTCTGCAACACTGCCTGGATGGATACTTGAGAGAGCCAGTTTGGTGCAGTGGTTTAGGAGCGTGGACTCTAATCTGGGAGAACCGGGTTTGATTCCCCACGCCTCCACATGCAGCTGCTGGTGGGATCTTGGGTCAGTCACAAGTTCTTTCAGGGCTGTTCTCTCACAAGCAGTTCTCAAGAGAGCTCTGTCAGCCTCACCTACTTCACAGGGTGTCTGTTGTGGGGAAGGGAAAGGAGATTGTAAGACACTCTGAGACTCCTTCGGGTAGTGAAGGGCAGGGTATAAATCCAAACTCTTCTTCTCGATGCCACAGCAGTCTCCAGTGGATTTTTTGCAGGGCACAGAAATGAGGGGGGCTATTTAACCCTTCCCCTACTTGCCACTTCTCTGCAGCAAGCCCATTCACTCTCCAAAAACCACTTCTTTTGCCCCGGGGGGGAAGGGGGTGTGTCTAGAAGTGCGTGACAGAGACACAGTAATGATAAACACAGGCCGAAAGAGAGGCAAGAGCTTCCCACTTGAGGACACAGCCAGGCCAACGTGGCCACGTTTTGTGGAGCCTGACAGAAGCAGAGGTGCCAGATCGTCTCGTTCATGAACCACAGCAGCTACACTGCAGCCTGCACCACACCTAAGAAAGTGTTCTGCTTCACTTTCCACCCCACCAAGAGACAAAGTTCTGTGAAGAGGGATACACGAAGGCCCCATAGGAAGAGAAGTCCCTTTAGATACTGTTGCTCTCCCAGCTGCTGGTTCAGGCCCATAGCTATGGCTGGATTCTTGGGGGCTCTGCCCCCTTTCTTAAAACACAGCCCCACAAGAATTTCTCCTGTAAATGCTTTTTTTCAATCATTTAAAAACATTTTTAAAAGGTGTGCACTTCCTTCAGCAGAGTGGGGTGCTGCAGTTGACTAATTCAAGGGGTTGGAGTAGGTGACCTCTAGGATCCCTTTCAACTCTGTGTCAAGAAATGGGTCTTCTCCTTTAAGAGACTTTTTCTGCCTAAGTGCTAGCTTCCTCGACTGTAGAGGTCATCACTCCCACCTGCTAGCTCATTATCAGAATTGTTCCTTAGGCTGGCAGAAGTGACTAACTTGCAGCAGCTGGGAACTGTCATCTGTAGTGGTTGACAGCTTGCAATTTAGAGATCTGTCCTGGCTACAGCCTTCTAACGGCTAAATGGTTAAGAACACCTATGTAGAACAGACAGCTTGAGAAGACTCAGAGAGAGAAGAGACTGCCTCAAAGCTCTCTTCAATGTCTACCTTGCCGCTTTGCTTCTAGAGACTCTGCTCGTCAGGTACGCCAGTTGAGATGCCAGAGCTACACGCCTGATGGGACAAGTACTGAGTAGAGTAGCCAGCTGGGTTTGTTTGTTTTGGTTTGCATTCCTTGCTGAACTGTTTTAAGATCAGCTGCTGGTTTAAGAGCAGTCCTCCATGCCAGCAGACACACGAGCGGAGACACAGAACATCCTCTCTTATGATCCATCTTTATTTGTAAAAGTCCAGATATAAAATCTTAATTGGTGTCTTAAAAAACAAAAAGGCACATTTAAAAACTACTGTATTTTTCTCCCCCCCACCACCCCCCCACCCAGGGCTATGCTGGACACACTCCCTCTCCCCTGCGGCTTCTTGCGGCTCCCGCTTCCTTCTTTCCTTCCGACAAGGGGTCTTCCATCTTCCTGCATTCCAGAAGCACACACAGCGGAGAAGTGTCAGTGTGAAAATCCAACTGCGTCCATCGGTACTTTAATAGTAGCTCTCCTTCTCTACCCAGCCTACAAGAGAATGGAAGAGGGAAGAAGAGAAAGAAATGCATCAAGTTGCTTTTCCTGTTTTGGAACTGGAGATGCTTTGAGTTAGCTCTGCTGTAATGCACCTTTTCTCCAAACATTTGAGATGGACACCTCGCACAGATTGCTCAGAACACCTCCTGCCCCCATCTCACCGACAACACCAGGCAGTCGCAGTGAAGATCCATACTCCCCCCGATTCTTAGCAAAGCCATGAAATACCAAAGCAGGGTCCCTGCGGCATCCCTCACCAACAAAGCAGGGTCCTTGCGGAACCCCCGGCTGCCCGCAAAGGAAAATCGTCAAGAGAGGCTGCCTAGCCCCCACAAATGACACATTCCACCCACGACCGTTGTAGGGCTGCAGATTCTTACCTCCAGGGCTGCGTCTGATGATGAGTTTTCTTACTTCATCATACACAAAGATGAGGAGTGAGTACGGGAAGGCACAGAACCACCACGTCGGTCTGCAAGGGAAGGAGACCGCAATGAAGAATGCCCTTGTGCAGGAGTGTTGGCCAGGGCAAGGCCTCACTGTCCTGAGTAAATTCTGTACTTACTTGAGAGGATACATCCTCAAGGCCACGTCCATCCCAGGGCAGTAAGAGAGGAAGGCAGCCAAAGCCGTCTCTTCAAAGAGGCCAAATATGAGGATCTTGTTCCTGGTGGGAAGTATTGAGAGGAGTCAGCCCCCGGAGACAATCACCTCCCCGCTCAACCCTCGGCTCAAGCAGAAGGTCCCAGGTGTTGTTCTGTCCTGGTCTCTCCAGAGCTCTCCTCTCCCTTCATGGCTAGAAACACGGATCCTGCAAGGGAAGCCACTGAACACACCATGAGCACCTGAAGCTGCCTTCTCCCGAATAAGACCCATCGGTCTGTCAGCATTCAGTACTGTCTGCTCAGACTGGCAGCAGCTCTCCAGGGTCTCAGGCAGGGGCCCTTCACACCACCTCCTACCAATGCTCCCTTCTAAGCTGTGGATTCTTGTGAGCAAAAATTCTATTTTGGGAGCTACTGGGAGTTGTGAGCGAGCGAGCCATGTGGCTGCTGCCCAAATTAGCTCGCTCTGGAGCCCTCCTTCCTGAGCAGAGACAAAAAATGTGTGAGCCGGAGGCTAAAAAAACTGTGAGCTAGCTCACACTGACTCAGCTTAGAGGGAACAGCTGCCTACTACCGAACCCTTTTAAGCGGAGATGTCTGGGATTGAACCGGGGACCTTCTGCATGCTAAGCACATGCTCTAGCACTGAGCCACGGCCCCTGCCCGTCCTCGTCTAGGGATCCCCAACTTTTTGGAACCCGTGGGCACCTTTGGAATTCTGACACAGGATAGTGCAAGGGTGTCAAACATAAGGCCCGGGGGCCGGAACCAGCCCATCCGGGGCTCTTACCCAGCCTGCAAACAACTGGCATGGATGGAAGTTTAAAGTACTCCCCCTTTTATGGTACCCTTGAGGGGGAAAAACTAGTCTTGCATATGATTAAATACATTTATTGGGGTTTCTGTGGGTTCCCCAGTAAATTAATTGCTTTCACTGCTAGGAATCAATTACTTTTGTTTGTATTCTGAGCAAAAAATAATATGGTTAATTGGGTTTGCCCGTGTCCTTTATAAAGTTCATATCTTCCCTCTGAGCCCACAATCTCCCAAGCCCTTTTCATTTCCAGTCAACGACTGCGATCCCCATCCTGGAAGGTGGCTCGGGCCACCAGAACTGCCCCTCCGGTCCCGCTTAAGAGGCATCAACTGCCCCGGTACTCACTTCATGCCTTGCTGGAAGACTGAATTCCTCCTGGTCTTGCAGATGACCAAGTCGGCCCACTGCACCACCACAATGCTGACGAAGAAGGCCGTGTGGCACGTGAACTCCACGATCTTCCGCTGCTCGTAGGTCTGGAGGGGGGGAGGGTTAAAAGAGAGAGGCTTGTTCTCGTGCTCGATTTCCCCAGGTGATGGCCGTGAAAAGCCAGCCAGCCAGCCTGGCCAACGTCCTCTCGGGCGATTCGGACACTCACCCACTGTTGCCCGTAGCTGTCCTCAACGTCATTCACCCACCGGTCATCCCAGTTCACTCGAATGCCCAGCAAGGTGGAGGGCAAGAACCCGTTCTCGGCGAGGATCACAAAGTAAGTGAAGAACCCGCCCAAGGCTTGGATCATCCCTAAGAGCCAGGAGGAGAGAGCGGGTCAGTGCACCCGGACCAGATGTCTGAAGACATTTTAGGAACGAGACCACACACAAACACCCGGCGGAGGTTCAGGGGTGGAGATTCCTCAGGGCCTCCAGCTCAGCCAGAAGACGCTCCTGTTCTGCCGCCTCCCTGCTGAGCGAAGCGAAGCCATAGGGAGTGTCCTCCTGAACTTCCGCTGCGATGCTCTACTGCACACCACTGCGATGACACCTCGGCCGAGGTGCCGCTGCTTCATCCCAACCGGGTTTGAAGCCACGATGCACAAGAGTTCACATCTTTTGAAACACCTTCCTGTACCATCCTCTGTGTTCGGAAAAGAGGAGGGGGAGGAGGTTGGATTTATACCCCGCCCTTCCACTACCCGAAGGAGTCTCAGAGCGGCTTACAAACTCCTCTCCCTTCCCCTCCCCACAACAGACAACCTTGTCAGCAACACTCCCTCTAAGCCACCCTGAGCCCGTTCGCAGGAAGGGTGGGATATAAATACAAAAATAAATAAATAAATAAAATAAGCTGTGAACATAAGAGAAGCCAATGTTGGATCAGGCCAGTGGACCATCTAGTCCAACGCTCTGGGTCATACAGTGGCCAAAAACTCCAGGTGCCATCAGGAGGTCCACCAGTGGGGCCAGGCCATTAGAAGCCCTCCCACTGTTGACCCCCCCAAGCACCAAGAAGACAGAGCATTGCTTGCCCCAGAGCCCCTATCTATACCTTGTGGCTAATAGCCACTGGTGAACCTCTGCCCCATATGTTTATCCAGTTCCCCCTTGAAGCCGTCCATCCTTGTAGCTGCCACCACCTCCTGTGGCAGTGAAGACTGTGGAGTCTTGTGAGCAAACATCCTACTTTGTGAGCTGCTGGCATTAAAGTTGTGAGCGAGTGATTTGGCTACTGCACAAATTAGTTTGCTTTGGAGCCCATCCTCCCTGAGCGAAGACAAAAAGGTGTGAGCCAAAGGCTAAAAAACTGTGAGCTAGCTCACAGTAACTCAGCTTAGAGGGAACACTGCCTGTGAGGTAGGTGGGGCTGAGAGAGCTCTTTCGAGGAATGCCCTTGAGAGACCAGCTCCAAGAGAACTTGTGACTGACCCAAGGTCACACCAGCAGCTGTATGTGGAGGAGTGGGGAAATCAAACCCGGTTCTCCCAGGTTACAGCCTGCGTTCCTAACCACTACACCAACTGCTCCTGAACAGATCCT